AACTTTTTATTATTAGTATCTTTTAAGTCCTTATCTTCTTTAGATTAACTTTTAGCTATGTTAGTATTATTTATAAGCCCTTTTACTTCTTTTTTATTACTATTAGCTAGGCCCTTTTTAGCATTAAAAGCTATGCTAACGTCTACTACTATGTTAAACTAGAATAATAAAGACTGCATTACTTTGCTAAGTTTTATGCACTTATTTATTATAAGTTTTATTATATCTTTAATCTAGTCCTAGACTTAACTAAACTAAGACTATAGTAATTTATTATTTATAAAAATTACTTCTTAAAATAACTTAATTATAATTAGTAGGGCTATGTACATATTTTGCTGTATAGGCTAGGCTCTAGTTCTTAGAACTTAGTAACTAAATAAGTTAATTATAAAGGCTATAACTAAATTATAAGAAATAGTAAGTTTATTATAAATTAGAACTAAAGTAGCTTTTTAAGGGCTTAGATCTACCTTAGTTAAAGCTAATCTAGGCCCTTTTAGTGTTAGGGTGGATGTTAGCATAGCTAGACCCTTTTATAGAGTAGGGATGCTCTTTAGAGAGGTAGTAATATCTTTAGGCATTACTTTTTTTTTCTTTAGCTAATAAACTTTGTTTTATTTAATAAATTTAGTTTAATTTACTAATATATATTAGTATTTAAGTATATCTTATTTAAAAAGAGAATAACTTACTTTAAAAATTATAACTTTTACTTTTTATACTATAGTAATAATTTGCATAACTATAGCTAAAATAGTTAGAGATATATATATAGTAGATAAACTTACTATTTTTTTTAAGCATTTTTAGCAAAGATCTTATAAAATCTAACCTACTATAAAGGCTACTAGTGCCTTAGCTACTTTAGGGCGTGTAACTTTAATTAAAACTAAGTTAAAGCTATTCTAAAAAAAATTAACTTATGTATACACTATAATAATCTAATTTATTTACATCTTAACTAACTTTAAATAGGCTGTTATAACTTTTATATTTAGATTTTTTATAAACTTAAAGTCTATTAGGCGCCTAGAGAGTCTTATTATTTTTATAGTAGTCTAGACTCTTTTATATAGCAGCTTTAAATTAATAATTTTATATAAATTAGTGTTCTTTATAAAAGAGTTAGACTACTTAGATTTACTACTTAAAAGTTTAAGCTAAGGTATAATCTTTTTTTTTTTTTTACTTTTAGTTAGCTTTAACCTAGCTTTAGCTAGATCTATCTAATAAAGTAAAATAATTAAGGTTAGAGCAGGTAGAGCCTAACCTATGCTATATCTGTAATGTCTATACTAGAAATATAGTGGCATAAACTGCTGCTAGAAAGGGTACAGTCTGCCTAAAGTAAATAAAGGTGCTTTATGTTAAGGCTACTAGGTGTTCTAGTACAGACTCTAAGCCTACAGATATTAACCCTAGGCCTGTAGATATAGACCTTGCAGTAGTAAATATAGTCTGCAACTTAGCTAACAGGCAAATTACTACTAATGTTTTTTATAGCTAAATATAAGTTAAATATAAGTAAAAGTAGGCTATAAAAAGATATTATTAGTTTAATTTTTTTTTAAGTTATATTAATCTAGATTAATCTAGATTTACTTACACTTTTACTATACTATTACTAACTCTAATCTTAGCTGCTCTATAAGCTGTCTAGTCTAGTCTAGCTAAAGGCGCAGGCAGGCACTGTCTAGTTTAGTCCTGCCTGCAATGCTATTAGACTTAGGCAAGACTACGTGTCTTCTAGTTAGGACATATTAGGCATAAAAGGTAAAAAAGTAGGTTCTAATAATATATTATCTAATAAAGTAAGTTTATTATTATCTAGCGCCTTTATTTTTTCTAATTAGCCTTAGATTATAACATGTGTAAAGTAAAACTTACTATTACTATTAGCACTAGCCTTTTTAGCTAAGAGGTCTTAGCTTCTAGTTAAGCCTTTACTTTAAAAATTAATAATAACTTTAGTATTAATCTTTAGTAATAGAGGCTTATTATTAAGTTATAACTAGTTATTATTTAGTGTTATTATAGCATTATTAAATATAATCTACTGTGTTAGAAGTAAGTAAAGAGTGTTAGAGGCTATTTTAATTAAATTTTAACCTAAAACATGTAGATAAGGTAAGATATGTACCTGTAGCGTCTTTAGCAGTTTAGGATTAGCTAGTAAGGTCGCACTGCCCTAGTTAGGTGGGTTGGTGGGCGTGGCAGGAGGAGATGTGAAGCTGGGTTGGTTAGATTGTTTATTGTGGCGGCCGTGCGCGTAAGCGAGCTGTTACGTAATCATTCCTAATTAGGACTAGCCCCCTTCTTCCTGGAAAGGAAGGCTAATCTGCTCGTTATTATCAACACCACAACTTAATTATCTACAAATCAATACATGTTCCCCTAAGACTAATGACCCTCTTAGTCGTTGCCCGTGGTTTGGACTTCTCACGGGCAATGGCGACGGCTTGAGCCTTCTTCATATCTTCAATCCGTGCAAACAGCTTGTTCTTGTCCATTACCACCTTAACCCTCTTGATCAAATGGGAGCTGCGGCGACTGAGGGGGTTGCAAGATAAGTACCGGTACCTAACCCTAAACCCAACCCCCC